AGAGAGAGAGAGAGAGAGAGAGAGAGAGAGAGAGAGAGAGAGAGAGAGAGAGAGAGAGAGAGAGAGCATATCGACAAAAGCGTACATACGAATGGTAAAATTAAAAGAAGTGCTAATGCGTAGTAGATACGGCTTACACGGGCTGTACGTAGCAGACAGGAAAGAAAGAGGAGGGGGGGGGAACCATTTACGGGCCCAACAGTGCGTCCAAGCCTCTGCGGCGCGAGCTAAGGTAATTATGGAAATTATGGAATGAATGAAGAACGACAGGTTAGCGGAGGGAGCTGACGTATTTCCAATTTTCCATCTTGATGATCTTTCTGCAGCAGCGAAGGTATAAGGTCGACCTCGTTGTTGCAGACTGTGAGCCAAGCACAACTACACAGCACTCTACCTCCATTTGGACGCTTTCTGGAACAGGTGCATTCGGACGAATCTAAGATTTTGAATTTATAGGGTCCAGAACGCGCCCAGATGCAGCTACAGTGCTGTGTGATGGAGCGAGGCACTGTATGTGCTTTTGTGAAGATGGCTGACATCCAATCTTCTTCCGGAGCAGCCTCACCGAACCTACCGCTCAGATTGCGGAAGGTCTACAGTCTTCCCCCGAACATAACGCGCCCTACAAATGAACGTACACGACCTTTATTTCCCTCCAGATACAGCCAAAATGAGGGTGCGTTGTGTTCGGCGGAAGACGGTAGTCTCAGCCTCTCAGGATGAAATCACCTGTTCCCTTCCTCCCTTCCTCCCTTCCTCCCTTCCTCCCTTGTCCACTGCGTGCCTTCCTTCGCTCACCTCGTAAGGCAAGAAAAGACGCTCACCTGAGTAACCTCGTAAGCCAATAAAAGAGTAAAACGGATAATAAAGAAGGACCTGCACGTAGCGAACATGAGAGAGAGAGAGAGAGAGAGAGAGAGAGAGAGAGAGAGAGAGGTAATTCAAAATTGAGATATGTAGATTTAGTTCTGGGTGGGGGTGGGGGCGTTAAGCTCTCACCTGTTACGATAACAGCGCCGCAAGAGATGAAGTTGAAGACGAGGAGACCCACGAATTCTGCTAATGCAGCTCGAATGGCCGACATATTCGTGAACTCGTCCGCCGAACCAATTTGAATACCCCGCCTTGTCTCCATGATTACTTCAGAATCTCCTCTCTTCTTCTGTTCCTTTCCTCTCTCTCTCTCTCTCTCTCTCTCTCTCTCTCTCTCTCTCTCTCTCTCTCTCTCTCTCTCTCGCGTACCGGATTGCAGCACCAAAGACGAACCACCTTCTTGTTAGCGTCCTGCGACGATTAGCCTCACCAGCAGGAAGAAGGAAGAAGGAAGGAGGAAGAAGGAAGAAGGAAGAAGGAAGAAGGAAGAAGAAGAGGAAGAGATTGGGGATGATCAAGCAGCGATGGTACGGGAATGCAGAGGAACTGTTCGTCCTCGAGTCCTCGACTAAGTCTACCACTACTGCGTTTACGAGAACGGCAACAAAAACCGCTACCGGTAGTTCTACTTACTACTTTGTGCTACGACAACTACTTGTACCAAAACTACTACTACTACTACTACTTAATACTACTTGACTGGCAGGCGATGACAGCACAATCACTGTGACAGCGATCAGGCGAATCGGATGAGAAACAAGTCCTGCTAGGACAACAATAGGACTACAGTAACTGCAGCTACTGGTCGGACGTGGCAATATCTGTTTGTGAGCGCCAGCTTTCGCCTGAGGCTGTCTCTTATACACATCTAGATGTGTATAAGAGACAGGTAGTGGAGCGAGACCCTCT